GGAGATCAGCCAAGCGAGATCTCCAGCAGGCAGGCAGGCAGGCAGGCAGGCAGGCAGGCAGGCAGGCAGGCAGCAACAGCAGCAGAGGCACCGCTCACCGGGCAGGACGAGGAAAACAAGCCAACCAACCTGCCCCCCCCTCCCCACCGCAGCAGCCTCCGCCCCCTCCGGGGCTCCTTCCGCGCCCTGCCCGACCCGAGTCTCTCGAACCGGTTTCGCTGGTTTAGTGATTAACTTCCCCGCCCCTCGCGCCCAGCCTTGCCCAGACGCCTCCGCTCCCCAAGCCCAGAGCGCAGAGGAGAAGAGGAGGACTCGGAGACTCAGACGGCTCTTGACTTCCCGACTTGCTCGTCTCCCCTATCCAGCCTTGCCAGACCCCCAACTTCCCCCCCCCCTCCAAGTCCTTCCGCGCGCGATCGCCCGCCTTTCCTGCTTTTGTTTTCAGCCCCGCGCCGAGGAGGAAAGCCTGCCGTCGGAGCGCAGCCATGGCGCAGTTTGGACTTCGGGGTTGGCTCTTCGCCGTGGCCTTGAGCGCGACTCTCCGCTTCGGGCGAGCAGGTGAGTCGGATCGCGGGATACCCCTCCACACCCCTCTATGAAAAGCAGATAGGCAGGTAGCCACGGAAGAGGCGCCTAGTTTGGGGGGGGGGGTGTCAGCGGGTTGTGTGAAAACCCAGCCGCCCGGGTCGGTGAGAAGCTGGGTCAGGGGCTGAACTTTGCTAAACTCCAAACCTTGGGAACTTTTAAGCCTGGCGGACTTCAACTCCCAGAATTCCCCAGCCAGCAAAGCTGGTTTGGGGAGGGGGGGAGTCAGCGGGTTGTGTGAACCCAGCCGCCGGGGGTGGGTCAGAAGCTGAACTTTGCAGGGGTCCCCAACTTTGTGAACTTTAAGCCTGGCGGACTTCCAACTCCCAGAATTCCCCAACCACCTTGTTGACTGGGGAATTCTGGGAGTTGAAGTCCGCCAGGCTTAAAGTTCACAAAGTTGGGGATCCCCTGAGCTAAAGCGTGGAAATGGGGTCTGTAGAGATTCTCAGTCATCCAAAGGTAGTTGGCTGTTCCCAAAGGTGCTTATTTTCAGGAGGCAAGAGGGTTTTCTTGGTTATTTCTTTTTGAAGACGTTTCGCTTCTGATCCCAGAGGCTTCTTCAGTTCTGGCAGGATAGCGAGGAAACGGTTGCAAACGTTGCATAAGAATATCGGGCCAGGGCAGGCAGCTTCTTCCTTCTTCTTCCACGGAGGAGGGAAAAAAAGGGGGGTTCCTTTAAAAAGTCGCCCTGGGAAAGTAAGGATTGCGCAACTCCAGATAATCCCTTCTGGATCGCTTTAGGATCCCCCCTTTCCCAATGCTCTTCTTAGCCTCCCGCTCCTTCCCGGCCCGACTTTCACTTTCGTTGAGCGTCTCCCCGGGAACGCCGCGCGGGCTCGCGCAATCCTAACTTGACCTTTGCACGGAGCAACAATTTGTTGTGCAAGCTGGTTGTGAGTGTGCAGAAAGCTGTATAAACCCGACAAATAACCCCGACCGGGTTTACAACGAAGGCGGCGGGGAGGGGGGGTAGTAGGAGAGGGGAAAAAAATATGGGGCGTTGTGACTGCAATGCAAAAAAAAAAAAAACCAACAACACACAATTTCTGCAGGGTTTATTTATTTATTTTTGAACCCGCTCATCCGACTCCTTTTAGGGCGGGCTGGGGGGGGGAGGTGTAGTAGGACCGACGTTTCGTGCAGAGAAAGCGGCGGCTGGAAGAGGGGAGGCGGGTCACGAGAAAACCCTTCTGTGTCGTTGGACAAGGGCGAGCTCGGTCTCAAGCGCTTCCTCTTTTTTTTTTCCCTTTGCAAGTAAACCGCAGTTGTTGAATGTTGACATTTCTAAGAGGAGGAGTTTTTTTTTACGACTTAGAGGTTTGGGGAGGGGGTGAGCTGTTTTCTTTTTCCTCCATGCTTCAAAGTGCACAGGAGCAAAAGTGAAGGTGGCAACTTTCTTCCTGGCTTCACAGAGAGCTCAGTTTCTTTCTTTCTTTCTTTCTTTCTTTCTTTCTTTCTTTCTTTCTTTCTTTCTATCTATCTATCTATCTATCCTCCTATCTATCCATCCATCTATCTATCTATCTATCCATCCA